TGATTTCTCCCTCTCTGAGCTCATACCCATTCAATAAGCTGCAAGAGGCCCTTGTCCTGGCTGAATTCCCTCAAAGCAGGGCCCGGGTTTGTTCCTCCTGGTCCTCAGCAGAAGCTGATTATTAGCTAGTAGGAAACAAACCACTGGAGACAGAAAGGGAATTTTATCTCAAAGAGAGAAATATGACAGAGAAAGACACCTGTGAGGTTAAATGAAAAAGCAGAAAAAAAAAAAGAAATCAGGTTACCAGAAGTATGTATGTTAGACTCTTATTTTAGTAAAAAATGGCCAAAAATCCTCCCAAACATAAGAAGAGAAACAAATCTGTACGGGTATGTAGAGTATGTATGTGAGCAGTGGTTATTTCCAGGTAGTGGGATGTTGGTTCGTTTTTACTCCTTGTTTTTTACATTCTCTGAATTTTTAATAAGGAGCATGAATTAATTTTATAATTGGGAAAAAAACGCTTTTTTTTTTTTTTTTTTCAGTTTTTGGCCAGGGTTGGATTTGAACCTGCCACCTCCGGCATATGGGGCTGGCGCCCTACTCCTTTGAGCCACAGGCTCCATTAAGAAGAGAGAAGGAGTAAAAGCACAGTAATTTTATGATCTACCTGAAGGAATATTATTTTTTGCCTTCAAAATAGGGAGACTTTTCAAGTTCCTCAAGGATTTCTTGAAAGAGCTGTTTTTCTGTTTAGTAAGCATTTAAAAGGCGATGAAATTTATGAAAAAGATGAGGCTAGCACTCATAATCTCCAGATTGCAGAATCATTAAGAATAAAGAAAAGGGCTCAGCACCTGTAGCTCAAGCGGCTAAGGCGCCGGCCATATACACCAGAGCTGGCAGGTTTGAATCTAGACTGGGTCTGCCAAACAACAATGACAACTACAACCAAAAAATAGCTGGGTGTTTTGCAGGTGCCTGTAGTCCCAGCTGCTTGGGAGGCTGAGGCAAGAGAATCGCTTAAGCCCAGGAGTTGGAGGTTGCTGTGAGCTATGATGCCACAGCACTCTACCCAGGGTGACAGCTTGAGGTTCTGTCTCAAAAAAAAAAAAAAAAAAAAAAGAATAGTGAAAAGACAGACTTGGCACCTGTAGCTCCATGGTTAGGGTGCCAGCCATATACACCAGGGCTGGTGGGTTTGAACCCAGCCTAGGCCTGCCAAACAATAATGACAATTACAACAAAAACGACAAATAGCCAGGTGTTGTGGCGGGTACCTGTAGTCCCAGCTACTTGGGAGGCTGAGGCAAGAGAATCACTTAAGAGTCTGAAGTTGCTGTGAGCTGTGATGCCACAGCCCTTTACTGAGGGTGACAAAGTGAGACTTTGTCTCAAAAAAAAAAAAATGAAAAGACAAAAGCAGATCTATAAAAAGAAAATGACCCATCTCCATGGCGTGTCCAGAGGTTCTCTGCTGCCCATGTTGCAGGAACCTGCAAGGACAGCAAAGAGTAGTCTTTTCCAAAAAGTTCAAATCAAACTCTAAATGGGCACTCTAGAATATTGGAAGTTTTTAAACAAGGTCGCCTATTTATTTTTCTTGTGCCTGAATTTAGATTTCTTTAAGAGAAATACTATATTTACGACACTATTAATAAGTGTGCATCCATTTAAAATATTTATTTGGATTTGCTGTCCTATCAACGGATCTTCTTTCCTGCCCCTTTTGTCTTGAGACTGAGTTAAGACAAGACAATCTCAGGCTGCAGTTCAAAGAAATAGAATTCCTATTAGGGCACGGGATGGCCGGCTCCTAGGCTGCTTCAGTCACTTATTTCCTTTTATTATAATGCCAAATGTTATTTAGATTTCAGTCACTTAGTAATGCTATGCTGAACACATCGGGGCTTCTGAAAAATTCCATACCTACTAGTCCTTTCATTTTCATAATAACCATATATCAATATCCCCTTTCCAACTAAATTAAACCACTATTTAAAAAAGAATCTGTGTTTTATCAGAGTTTAAGAGATTACGATGCAACGAACAACAGTCTTCAAAAATGTTCCTTCATGTTATTAAGAATTAAGAAATCTTGTTAAAATTCTTTCAGCTTTTAAGAAACATAAGCAGCTTTGGGATGTAGTGCCTGACATGAACTTTGTAAGTCATTCCCTTGGAGCGATCATCTGCATTAGTGAAGATATTTCGTTCAAGGTAGCGCCCTGTGCTGCTTTTCCGTATTGGGGCTGTCAATCTAATTGCTTTTTTAAGCCAGAGATTGAAAATACACTACAGACTTTTAGGGCTAAGGTAGCTTAATGTGCTTTAGTGGTGAGAGCCGCACTCGCCATCAAGGAAGAGAGCCTCTTCTGATGTGAGTGTCGCTAATGAGCCCAAGTTGTTGAGTGACGTGGAAAGCAGAGTTTTTGGTGTCACTACTTAGGATGCTAAAGGAAGGCTGGTACCGGCAGAGGGAGAAAACCCACGTACCCACAGTGCCTTTCAGTCTGACTTCAATGTTCACTCATGGAGGAACTTAAGGAGAGAAGAACAGTAACAGAGGAAGGAGATAACCGTTTTTCTATTATCCCAAATGAACAATAGGTGAGAACTGATTCCACTAATGTACCTGGAGTTGTTTTATTCATGCTAGTTTTCATAGAAGCCATGGGACTTATCAAGAGTTCTTATAGTAAAATATGCATTGGCTCTAGCCTAGGATACCCTGGTGGTTTATAGGCTATGGAGATTTCCTCCCCATGTCTCACCCTCGGTGTACCTCTGGGAAGACGTCAAGTTCACTATGAATTGACAGGGTCCCTTATCTTGCAAGGGGACCTAATCCAACCTTAGGCTGCATTAACAGAAGTACAGTAGCCTATACCGCCTGGTACTAGTCAGGTTACCGCTAGTGGGCTATGCTCAGTTCTCAGAGCCCTATTTTTAGAGGGTCACCAGCAAACAGAAGCACAGCTAGGGCAGGGTGATGAGGGTGGTTAGGCTCTTAGGAACACCCATGGAATAAGAGTTGGGGAATTAGTACTGTGTGGCTTGGAAAGGAGGAGGAAGGCAAGAGGAAGGGAGGATTGACTCCTTCTTCCCTAGAGTGTGGTCCCAGAGGGCAGACCTTGGATCAGAGGAGAGAAAATGCAGCAAAGTGGATGGTGGCTCTGTATCTGGAGTGACTTTTAGAACTTCTCAATGATAGGGTTGGCAGCCTTCCAAATTCATGATCAGGGTAGGTTCTCCCAGAGACTAGACAGGTTACCTGCTGGATTTGCTGCAGAGGATTGGCTGCGTATGTTGTAGGCTGGGTTAAAGGATTGTGAAATTCCTTCTAAAGGGGAGAGTTTGTGATTCTTTCCGAGGCCTTCCTTCATACAGAGTCTTACAAACTTGAATTCTTCTACATTGCATGTTTGAGTCATGAGGAATCAAAGATCTCCCAATCCAACATCAGGATGAAAGAGTAAGAAAATATTTTCATGTGCTGTTTCTCAAAGATGCTCAGATACGAACATCCTATTGACTAAAAAACAATTCCAATTATCTCACTGATATTTCTATTCAGTAAAGTCAATGAGCTATGATATAAGAATATATGACTTCCATCCTGAACAAAATTATTTTCATTTTTAAAGGGTAAACAAGAGATATTCCCTTTTCTCATGTGCGGGGCTCATTGGAGAAGGATGATTACAAATGGTCCAGAATGATGAATGCCCTAGAAGCTACAGTTAACTTCTGAGAGGAAATATGATTGGTTCTAGATGGAATTAAAATATTTACAAAAGAGGCAAATCTGTTTTTTCCTTTGTGTATGAGCAAACATATTGTGATTATTTTCAGGCAGGCCAAATAATTTTCTTGGAAGTATGCTGAATTATTTTAATATTAATCCTAAGAGAGGGTTTTCTCTTTTCCTTTCCAAGAAGACGCTTTTGTGTTGAGAATGTGTTTTAAAACAACAGATCAAGGAAAGTACAAGCATCTTTGAAGAGTGCAAAAATAATTTCCCAAGTAAGCAAATAAAACTTTGCACTTCAAATCAGGCCTTGATTCATTAAAAATCTTAAACTTCTCATGAGAAAAATTAACATTTAAACCACTGCTGCGTGGCCAAGCACTCCACCACACAAGAATATGAAATATCTCCTCTAAAAAAGTACAAAAAGGACAAAACCACAAATGTGGAACTTCAATTAATTTAAAGCCCCAATCAGCAAAGAATAAATCCTTCGCAGATCTAATTACCAGCGCTCTCGGAAGACCCAGGCCGACCAGCCAATCTTCCCCGTGTTTGAACAGCTTGATGAACTAGGGGACTGATGGATATCAAGTCATTTTGTTTAATTTATAAATGGATTTTCCCCTAATACTTAAATTATCATCAGTACAACACAATGAAAATGGGAACATTCTGAATGCAAAGTCTATAAGAGTCCTGGAAGGAATCCCAATGAGGAATGTCACCTCTGTTCATTCCTCTATACAATTGATCTAATTAAATACTGAGGGTAGAAAGGCAGTTTAAAATGTAGCCATTTCTGTTTTCTTTTTAGCCTTAATTTATCTGTTCACATCTTTCAAGTACCTTCTGATGCTTAAAAAAAAAAAGAAATAAAGAAACCAAGATTTCTGCAAGGCCCTAATACTTTTAATTCTACACCAGCGAATATTTAAAATGCCTCTGCTATAGACTTTGCTGAATAATAAATAAATGCATTACACTGAGCCATGGTAACAATAAAATGAAGAGGGTGTTCCAAATCAGGAGCTTTTCCGTCCAGTAGTTTGAGAGGGAACTGAAAGGAACTAGTACTTTCTGTATGTATTGTTCAATTGAAATTAGATCTCTGGATTATACTTATTAAAATGTCTCCTTATTTTCAAATCTCTCCCTTATTTAATTACTGCATGGGGCTGCAAGCTGCACGGAATTGTTAAATACCCTTCGATCTATTTATAGTCTCTTCGCACGGGTAACTTGAGCACACTCATTTGGCGAAGGTCCTTCTGACCCAGCCACACATTGGGTTTGCAATTCCCACCTGGCTCAGGGGTCTCCGACTGAGAGGAGGAGGACGCTGAGCTGGCTCCGTCCTCAGCGGCGCCCTGCGAGAGGAGACCCCGCCCCGGCGGGAGCTTCATGCCCAGCTGTTCCGCCATCTCCACGTGGTCCCCCGGGTGGACATAGTCAAAGACGCTGCTGCCTGTCAGCTCCACCTAGAGGGGGAAGAGAAAGAGAGGGAGAGAAAGGTGTCACTGGTTTTTCCGGTGTCACATTCAGCACCACAGTGATTCCGATTCTGGGCAGAAAAGGAAATACATTCAGGCCCCAGAAAACAATCCTGGTTCTAAGTCCTTCATCTTCAAATGCTTAAGGATTCTTGAAGTTGAAAGAGACAGATCTTTTTCGTATGTTATTTATTTAGCAATTGTTTAGCCCAGTTTTTTTTCCTCATACACTGTTTGCAGAAAGCCAAGACGTTCAGTGAAATGTGGACGGAGGCTGCCTTGTGTTCAGCTGTTTTATCTATGCGTCATCAAACACTTGCATGTTTTGTGTCAACCGGATGATTGACTGAATCCTACGTGTTCTTTCGGAGAAGTTTGGGCTTTGTATTCAAACAACCAGAGATAGCAGGCTCTTATTCCTTATAGTATACAGATTTCCAAGATGTGTTTTTATACACTGTGTATATTTAAATGAAAGGGCTGTTTACGAATATATGCAAAGGCATAATGTTTTCATTAAATATTACTCATTAGCTCTGTAATCGTATGGAGAATTTTCCATACAAAAGAGGTCAGCTGGGGTCTGAAGCAGCCATTTTTTTTTCCTGCTGGTATCAGCTTGTTTTCTCTTCAATCTAATAAGATACATGGTACGAATTTCCTTGAGGGCTTTAAGAAAATGTTTTATTTTGTGTACTCTTTGAATTGGGTTGATGCTAAAGGTAGAAAAAGAACATCAAATGTCAGAAGCATTGCAGCCTGAAGTGGGGGGACTCTGTCTCAGTGCTGGGGGCATAATCCCCACGTCTGGGTTTCGAGCCATCTAAGGGGCAGAAGTTGCTAAGGAATGGCCTTACCTCTGTACTCATCTGATAATCTAACTTTTATCTCCTTTTGAGAACAGTGGTAATGCTTCTAACAGACAACAGGGACAGATGTGTCAGTCACAAGACAAGTAAAAGCTCTTTCCCAGGTCACTAATGGCTTTGCTGGTTCCCTGGTCTCAGGCCAGCTATGATGTACCATGGAAGCTGCCAGGATTTCATCTTGTCCCAGGGGTTATCTAGAATACCTTCTTACCTCATTTCCCTTTCCTGTGTAATTTCCAGCATCCCTCCAAATTCCACCTGAGTGCCTGCACTCTTTCCTGCCAAGAAGGAAGACTGGCAGTAGGCGAACTGTCACAGATACTGGGATACTCAGAGCATTCTTATCCCCAGAACTCTAAGTCCCGGTAAAATGATCACCTCTACTCACAGATACCATTTGATTAAAATCTTAACAGGCAACGGATCTTCAACATCTATCAATTAACAGGGGTACAGCTAGAAAAATAGGAATCTAAATTTGATTTGGTTAATAGCTATTCCTGAAAATGGCTCGCATAACTTTCACTGAAAATGAGGTGCGTTCTCCTGCTATTAAATTGCACTGTCCTACTGTATTACCCTGCTCCCGACGATATCGTTTTACAACTCGTTTCCTCTCCTTGGTATCGTTACAGAGTGTAAATCAGGATTCACCGCGATCAGCTCCTACCCTCTGGGAGGGGGGGATTACATGGAAATAATCCCTTTAATGTGCGCCTTGCCTCTAAGCACTTCACACAGTAATAAATGGGTAAACTGACTTTGAGCAATTAAGAAATTAAATGAAACTAATAAAATGTGTGTTTTAATATTTCTTGATGGTTATTTTGTTTGGAGATTAGCAAATATGAAGAAGGCACTCTCATTTTGCAGGGAGTCCAATTGTAGCACTTAATAAATATTTCTGTCACTTTTCTCAAACTCTGATTTTTTTTTTTTTAATACTTCAATGTGCCTTTTGGGACAGACCACAGATTGTGTTAAAATGACAACACAAGTGGGAGATAAAATAGATTTCTGAAGGTGCTGGTTATTGAATATTCATGTACACCAGTCTTATGGAGAGGAGGAACAGACCACCATCTCCACAATCTGATTCCCACAAAATAACGCCCTGAATATGGCACGCTTAGAGCGGGATTGAGTTGTGATGTGTTGTTATGGCAGGGCGAGGACTTTCTGCTCCACGGGTCTCATGGGATTCCTCACCAAGACACTTCACAGCCTAATATGATGGAGAGGTGGCCACCGAGAATTTGACACAAGCCTAGTCTTGTAGTTAAGGACACATGGTGTAGAGGGCAGCACCAACCACTCGGAGTCATAACCTGACTTTGACATGAGAATTTTTTTCTCCTAGGCTGGGTGACCTTGTCAATTTACTATTGTAAAAATGGCTGCAGCTGCTCTGTGGGAACCCGGGGCACCACCCACGTTGAACCCATGTGACTGGCACCTGCTGGAATGCTGTCCCTTGGGAATTGTGCAAGACAGTGTGGCCCTGAGAGCTAGAATGAAAACAAGACTTGCTTGGCCTGTCTCTTGGCTGAGAATGCCTGCTGCTGTTTGATGGCTAAGAAAGGATGATACCCACAATGTATATCGTATAACTTTGTGTTCTCACTTGGGGCAGCAGTTTAATCGGCATGGGATGATACACGCTTTGAGCCTTGATATCAACAATAGCAATATTAGCAGTTACCCACTATGGGTAGGTACTTTCTTGTACTTTGCTTTCATTAGTCCTCATAACAATCTTTTGAATTGCTCTGGTTATCCTCATTTCACAGAAGAAACTGAATACCTGAAACAGCCAATGATGGAGATAGAATTTGATTCAAAGCATACTTGACTTGACCTACCACCTCCCGGTTAGTACAGTTGGCAGGGCACTCTGAGCTCCTGTATCCCTCAGGATAACACTGAACACCAAGAATGCAGGAGGGCGGGGAGTCTTTTAGTCACCTGGGAGGAGGAGGATGCTCTGCCATTGGATCAAGAAGGTGCTTATGTTTGCATGTTGAGTTGGAAGAGACTTTAAATATCCTCCATTCTTATCCCCTTACTTAACAGATGAAGTTAACTTAACTTAACCATCTTAACTTCCATCATTCTCAGAAGTTAAAATGGTTTTTCAAGTGTACCCAGATGTTTTGTGATGGAAGCAGGGCTGTGAGTCCTCTGGACTAAATCTTGGTCCACCATTTTTCTCATGAAACGCTTGTCTGATTTTTATTTTAATCTCATGACTAGAACTCATGTTTCTTGTCACTAAATTCTGTGCCTCAAAATAGACTACAAAAACTAAGATTTGGAATTTTTTATTTGATGAACGGACATTACTTCTTGTTCACTGTAAGTAGGAAAAAGAAACATAGCTCCAGTCTAATGCTAATTAGGTGCTTTCAAATCTCTAGTTACCAACTCTTCCAAACATTTCCCCACTGAGAACCAGGACCACTGCCTTGTGTTTAGTAGCTCTATCAAAAATATTTGTTGAATGAATAAAGGAATGCTTTTTACACCTGAAAATTTTGGGGGCTTTATTTGTATTTAATTCAGACAAGTTTACATTAGTTCTTTTACATTATTAATGCCATTATTATTATAACAAATAAACTTTAGCACCATTAAGATAGTCATTCCCAATAATTCCTGGAATTTCACTGAGGATAGGACTGTACAAATGTTAGAAAAGGGCAGTCTTAAAAAAATTTGTTAAAGAATAGTGGCCATCTTTCATAACCCATGTTGCTTCCAATCTATGGCACAACTGGGTTTAACTGGGTAACTTCCAACTCACGTACCCCTATGACCTCCTTATCTGAATTGTAACATAGTTCCACAGAAATTATTTCTTAACTATTCCTTTAGATCACCAATGGTAGAAATTTCGAGAAATTTCATTTTATGTTAGCTAGCGGTCCTATCCTGTCTCCAATCCTGAATTATGATCTACCTAGCGGAAAGGTAAACCTTTGTTCTCTCCTAACAGAGCGCCCCAATTGGTGCAAAATGCATTCTGAGGCAAAATGTGAGAACCTCTTCATTTTATAGCAAACTTAATCATTTTATAAAGTGATTTTAAAAAATAGCCACGTTTTGTTTATTAAACTTAAGAAATAGACCTAAGGGTCTTTGAATTGTTTCTCTAGTCGAAGAAAGAGAAGGAATCACGACCATTTCTAAACTCCCCACTTGGTCCAACTTTACTCCAGGTGATGACTCTCCCAGAAAAATGACTCTCACATTGCCACTTACAAAGCAGCTGAGAGTGGATCACGGGCAGCAGATAGGCAATAAGAAATAAAAAGTCAATCACATCCAGAAACAGCATTTTGTTTAAACTCTTTTCTCCCTGCCTTTCCCCTGCCCAGTGCTACTACAGATGCCTTTGGGACAAACCACAGCTTCTGGTGCCATCTGGCATAACCTATAGTCAGGCTAAGCCACACAGACATCCTCAAATTTATTTCACGTTCTCATAGCTTGCATGTAATTTGCACGCTAGACACAGTTGATTTGGTAACTCTGAAGTTTCCTGGGAAAAAAAAAATGTAAATATATTATACAGTGGTTTGAGTTGACTTTTCCATGTCAGGTCACTGTACCCTGCTGGTAGATCGGATGGGGGACTAATTTGTCTTTTCATACATCAAGCAAGCATGTCAATAGCCTTTGCGTGGCCCCCTGGAGTGAGCAATACTTTTTAACTACAGCAATGTACTAACAGTGCAACTCATTGAATTCAGCGCTTCTTTGATGGAAGGGATTGGGTAGAAATGAGAAGCAGGCAGTGATGGTGTAAGTCATCTCCATACTGGAACAACGGAAGAGCATACCTTTATAAAGGATGATCACAAAACTGATTTTTAAGTTCTTTCTTTAAAAATGCTTCAGTCTTAAAAATCAACTTTGTTTTATTCCTATCTCCTAAAAGAGGTTATTTAAGACCCACCGCTTAAGGTCACATGTCCCAACTAAGCCTTTTCTAAGACATTGTTTCTTTTCTTTTCTTTCTTTCTTTCTTTTTTTTTAATTTAAGGACATTGAGGTTCCTGAGAAGGGCCTCTTGGTTAAGCCCCTTTTTAGGATTTTTCTGCAACCAGGCCCCACTCC